GGGGGGCAAAATTTATTATGGTTTATAATGGCAAATGATACTTTGAATATTACATGTTAATAACTTGATTGGAATTATAACCTTGAGTTGACAGTTTGATACTTTGAAAATTTTGAGCCAGCCCTACCCCCAAGGGCTGTAGGGTGGGGCCCAAAGGTCAGTGTGCTAAAATTTCTTCATTTTCCTTGTTTAGAATCAGAGGTGCTAGTTTCAAATACTTTTTAGTCTTAAATCTGTATGCTAGATATTGAATAAGGTGGTTTTATTGTTTTGTGTCACATTGAATAATATTTCTGTACGTGTTAAAAACAAAATCAACACTCTGTATAAATATATCAGGTGACCGTTAAGGCCCATGGGCCTCTTGTTTTTATCTACCACAGTTATTTGTATTTTTAAACTTTAATTTCCCATTAGCATGTATGTGTCGAATTGGTGAAGTCGTGATTTGAATTCATTTCCTTCTCTGGTTATTCAAAACCATTGCTGAGGTCAGGTGATGTTTCTCAGAAACACTGATAAGCTGATATAACTACAAGAGGACTCTAACTACATTAGTTGAATTGCCATTTATAGGAATGCCCTGATAAGTTTTTCTCAGTACTCTGATTGTCGTAGATAAGTGGAAGTCCTTCAACAACAGTTTATCTACCATAACATCATGTAAATTATGTTATTATGCAAAATTCACCGATTTTAAATGATTGAAGAATTTTCAAATGGTTAACCAGGGTTTCTTAAAATACCCATGTGAACAAAGGTATTTAAATATTGACTAAAAGTCTGTACAAATGAAATTCTGTTCAGGTTTTGTTGAATTGAAAATTTCACATAAGATTTTCAGTGTACAAAATGACAATTGAATCAGCAAATTGATTTGGCTACACTGTATTTAGTAATAGCTATGTGTGAGAGTCCTGGCCACCTTACTAGGAAATAAACAAAGTCCATAGGCACACTTGATGGTCACTTTGCTAGGTAACAAACAAAGTCCATAGGCACACTTGATGTTCACTTTGCTAGGTAATAAACAAAGTCCAAAGGCACACTTGATGGTCACTTTACTAGATAATAAACATAGTCCATACGCACACTTGATGGCCACTTTACTACGTAATAAACAAAGTCCATAGGCACACTTGATGGTCACTTTACTAGATAATAAACAAAGTCCATACGCACACTTGATGGCCACTTTACTAGGTAATAAACAAAGTCCATAGGCACACTTGATGGTCACTTTTCTAGGTAATAAACAAAGTCCATAGGCACACTTGATGGTCACTACTAGGTAATAAACAAAGTCTATAGGCACACTTGATGGTCACTTTACTTCTCTAGGTCTATTCTATTTCAAGTCTTAGAGTCGAGTCGCTTCTCTGCAGTTCAGTAGAGTCAAGCTTCTTCTTTAGGTTAAGAATATTCTATTTCTCATCTTCTCCATTAATACTTAAGAGTCAAGTTGCTTCTCTGGATTTCAGCAGAGTCAAGCCTCTTCTCTAGGTGTCTTTTTGGAGTCTTGATGTTCAATTTTAAGTTTGAGTTGTATTAAGGGTATGTTAAGCAAGTAGAGTGATTGGCCCCTGATATGCCAAATGCATGTACTTCTCAGTGTATCTTATTCATGTTTTTGCTAACATGTGTAATAAACAGATAACTGTTTATCGTGTTTTAGTTGTATATAAAATGATAATTTGACATGTTAAATGTTAAATTATAGTTTGTATACAACTATAATGTACTTCTACATGCATGGCTTGTTTAGTGTATGTTTTGTTTAGTCATGAATTCATAATGTTAAAAAATGCACTTAAATGTTCATGTACATTTTGTATCTTTTCTTTGTGTTACTTATTACAAGAATGTATGCTTTGGCAGGTCTATTTCCTGTGTTGTGTCCATATGCATCTTGATACGTAGCTATATAGCTAGTCATATCTCTATGCAAGTTGTTGACATATTTATGCTAATGAGTGGGGTAGATTTTGACCAATAGGTTTTGCTAACATATGTAATAAACAGATAACTGTTTATCTTGTTTTAGTTGTATATAAATAGGTAATAAACAAAGTCCATAGGCACACTTGATGGTCACTTTACTAGGTAATAAAACAAAGTCCATAGGCACACTTGATGGCCACTTTACTAGGTAATAAACAAAGTCCATAGGCACACTTGATGGTCACTTTACTAGGTAATAAAACAAAGTCCATAGGCACACTTGATGGCCACTTTACTAGGTAATAAACAAACTCCATAGGCACACTTGATGGTCACTTTACTAGGTAATAAAACAAAGTCCATAGGCACACTTGATGGCCACTTTACTAGGTAATAAAACAAAGTCCATAGGCACACTTGATGGTCACTTTACTAGGTAATAAAACAAAGTCCATAGGCACACTTGATGGTCACTTTACTAGGTAATAAAACAAAGTCCATAGGCACACTTGATGGTCACTTTACTAGGTAATAAAACAAAGTCCATAGGCACACTTGATGGTCACTTTACTAGGTAATAAAACAAAGTCCATAGGCACACTTGATGGTCACTTTACTAGGTAATAAAACAAAGTCCATAGGCACACTTGATGGTCACTTTACTAGGTAATAAAACAAAGTCCATAGGCACACTTGATGGTCACTTTACTAGGTAATAAACAAACTCCATAGGCACACTTGATGGTCACTTTACTAGGTAATAAAACAAAGTCCATAGGCACACTTGATGGTCACTTACATTATTAACACCTTTGTGTACATGTAAGAAAGTTTGGAGTAATATAGCCCTTCATATAATTTTTCTCAGAATGTGCACTCAATATCTTGGGTAATCAGTTGATAAAATCAGTATTAAAGGGAACTCCACCACCTATCATTTATCTTGTCTGATCATTCCATTCCATCACAATATTTTACCAACTCATTTTAATTAAATTGGATTGCTATTGATTGGAATGCCCTGATAAGTTTTTCTCAGTACACTGATTGTTGTAGATTAGTGGAAGTCCTTCAACAACAGTTTTAGGAGGGATACTGGAAGCAGGCTATCTGCCTGTAGACACAACTGCTCCTTAAGTACTGTGTGCACGATTTCAATGATATATAGTACACAGAATCCTTACATAGAGGGGATATGAATATAAGTTACCTTCCCAATTTATGGAGTTTCCCTTTGCATAAAAAGATTGTTTGAACTACTCCTCCCAAATTACTGCACTGATTTGAATGATACTTGGTACACATAATGCTTACACTGAGGAGATTTTAATAGACTATATAGATTGGCATTATCTCCTCTTATTTAAGAGTTTTGCCCCCTTGTAAAATAATATTCTTTGCACTAGTTCTCCACGAGTATGCCATTGATTTAGATGTTCTCAGTCACAGAGTCCTAAATCAAGAGGATGTAAATAAGGTACTTTAAAAGGGACTCTGGAAAGATATATTTTAACAGTTCTTGACACATGAGGGGGTATTTGTCTGGATTCCTCATGAAATAAGGTTTAAATGTGTGCTTTCTGTGTGTAATTTAGGACTTGTTTCTAATGTTGTAGAGTTAAGATTGTTTGGCCATGTTTGGTTAACATTTCAGGAAGCTTTTGATATTTTGATCATTTGTTCTTTGTACACATCACTAGCACTGTACAAATACAGTATTATTTTCATATGAATTTTGTTTGTTTCCCAGGCGATCGGAGTGTTTATCATGGTGCGGGACCTGTCTCTGTGTCTGATGCATGAGGAGGAAACACAGCTGCCTCTCACCAAGGAGAAAGCCTGTGTCAAGGTGTCTGAGATACTAGACCTTAGTGAGTATACAGCCCATCTGTTGTGGTGTCTGAGATACCAGACCTTAGTGAGTATTCAACCCATCTGTTGTGGTGTCTGAGATACTAGACCTTAGTGAGTAGTCAACCCATCTGTTGTGGTGTCTGAGATACTAGACCTTAGTGAGTAGTCAACCCATCTGTTGTGGGGTCTGAGATACAAGACCTTTGTGAGTATTCAACCCATCTGTTGTGAGGTCTGAGGTACTAGACCTTAGTGGGTAGTCAACCTATCTGTGACAGGGTCTGAGATACTAGACCTTAGTGAGTAGTCAACCCATATGTTGTGGCGTCTGAGATACTAGACCTTAGTGGGTAGCCAACCTATCTGTGACAGGGTATGAGATACTAGACCTTATTGATTAGTCAACCCATCTGTTGGGGTGTCTGAGATACTAGACTTTAGTGAGTAGTCAACCAGTGAGTAGTCAACCCATCAGTTGTGGTGTCTGAGATACTAGTCCTTAGTGAGTATTCAGCCCGTCTGTTGCGGGGTCTGAGATACTAGGCCTTAGTGAGTAGTCAACCTATATGTGACAGGGTCTGAGATACTAGGCCTTAGTGAGTAGTCATCCTATCTGTTGTGGTGTCTGAGATTCTAGACCTTAGTGAGTATTCCACCCATCTGTTGTGGTGTCTGAGATACTAGACCTTAGTGAGTATTCAGCCCGTCTGTTGTGGGGTCTGAGATACTAGACCTTAGTGAGTAGTCAACCCATCTGTTGTGGGGTCTGAGATACTAGACCATAGTGAGTAGTCAACCCATTTGTTGTGGTGTCTGAGATACTAGACCTTAGTGAGTATTCAGCCCATCTGTTTTGGTGTCTGAGATACCAGACCTTAGTGAGTAGTCAACCCATCTGTTGTGGTGTCTGAGATACTAGACCTTAGTGAGTAGTAACCTCATCTGTTGTGGGATCTGAGATACTAGACCTTAGTGAGTAGTCAACCCATCGGTTGTGGTCTCTGAGATACTAGACCTTAGTGAGTATTCAACCCATATGTTGTGGTGTCTGAGATACTAGAACTTAGTGAGTAGTCAACCCATCTGTTGTGGTGTCTGAGATACTAGACCTTAGTGAGTATTCAACCCATTTGTTGTGGTGTCTGAGATACTAGACCTTAGTGAGTATTCAGCCCATCTGTTTTGGGGTCTGAGATACTAGACCTTAGTGAGTATTTAACCCATCTGTTGTGGTGTCTGAGATACTAGACCTTAGTGAGTAGTCAACCTATATGTGACAGGGTCTGAGATACTAGACCTTAGTGAGTATTCAGCCCATCTGTTGTGGGGTCTTAGATACTAGACCTTAGTGAGTATTCAACCCATCTGTTGTGGTGTCTGAGATACTAGACCTTAGTGAGTAGTCAACCCATCTGTGAAAGGGTCTGAGATACAAGACCTTTGTGAGTATTCAACCCATCTGTTGTGGGGTCTGAGATACTAGACCTTGGTGAGTAGTCAACCTGTCTGTGAAAGGGTCTGATATACTAGACCTTAGTGAGTAGTCAACCCATCTGTTGTCAGGTCTGAGATACTAGACCTTAGTGAGTATTCAACCCATCTGTTGTGGGGTCTGATATACTAGACCTTAGTGAGTATTCAGCCCATCTGTTGTGGTGTCTGATATACTAGACCTTAGTGAGTATTCAACCCATCAGTGACAGGGTCTGAGATACAAGACCTTAATGAGTAGTCAACCCATCTGTTGTGCGGTCTGATATACTAGACCTTAGTGAGTAGTCAACCCATCTGTTGTGGTGTCTGATATACTAGACCTTAGTGAGTATTCAGCCCATCTGTTGTGGGGTCTGAGATACAAGACCTTAGTGATCATTCAGCCCATCTGTTGTGGTGTCTGAGATACTAGAACTTAGTGAGTATTCCACCCACCTGTGACAGGGTCTGAGATACTAGACCTTAGTGAGTATTTAAGCCATTTTTAGTGGATTCTGAGATACTAGAATTTAGTGAGTATTCAACTCACCTTTGATAGGGTCTTAAATACTTAAGCTTAGTATTTCAATTTGAATTGAATTCACAAAGTCTCTAAAAACGAGGAATGGATGATAGATAATGTTATACCAAGTGTGTATAAGCAAAGTGTGTTTAGAAAATTCCAGAAAGAGCTATATTCTCGTGTTACTGGTTCTATATTTAAAAATTAGAGGAATCTGTTCTACTTTTAGTCTTCCTGGTATAAGGTTTCTGTGTCATTCTGTACGTCTGATAAGGTGGTAAATTTGGCATAGGAGGTAAATGTGCTTTTAATCATAGGCCATCAGCTAGTTATTTAAAGGTTACACTGTACAGGAAGATTAGAAAGTACGTAAAAAACACTGAATTCAAGATCATTGTATTACAGATAACAGTCTTGTTGAGTCATTTCATTCACATGTAATGATTGGTGTTATAGATATAAAAAATATACAAAGCACATCTAAAACGGTTATGTTGATCGATGGTAACAGTCTCAGCTATGAATAACATACATGTATTTACAGTATGATATCTGGAGTAATTTGGTTGGGTTTCGGTGTACTTAGCTTACCTGGTCCATTTGAGTTCTGCATGTTTTAAAGATTAGGAGAACTTTCAACTACATGTATACAGCCAATACCCACAAACACAACCATAGTACCTTGTATACAAAATTACCTACAGAAACAGTCAGACAGGTGATAGTTAACGACTAAATGCTAGCTTTGTTATAATTACCTTCCAAGGGAAAGTATTAGATCTATTCTTGATCAGGCATGTAGCTTGCTTTGGATAAAAAGTCCTCAGATATATTCAAATAAATGTTCTTGGGTTAAATGTGATAAATACTGGTATGGCACAATATATTTGGTCTGAAGCCTAAGATTGTTGAGTGCTATAAGATCGGTTCAAATTAATTACATTGAGCTACTTTTAAGGTCTGCGAGGTCAAGTGTCTTTCAAAATCCTACTCTCCTGACCCCGTATATTGATTGTAACCACAGAACTTAGAAACTAAGAAACAACTGAGATTTTCACTACACAGATTAGACATTGTGTTACACGTACATTCATTCCTGCCGTCAGGGACTTAGTCCTAGTATCTTGGAAATGGCCACAATATCCACCCTAAGGCAACACTTTTTTGCTTGGCATAAAGAGATAGCAACATTCATGCTACTGTGATATGCTTCCCTTGACCATAATTATATTGGAAATGGCAATGAGGGGGGAGGGCTTATTGAAGGACAATGAAATATTTTTTATAGACATATCTACTGAACTTCAATAGATAATGTGTGGGCTGATGAACAGACATGAGCTTATTGCCTGATAAATATAGCCATATTATGTATGCTTGGGACCAGAAAATAACATTTCAAGGTGTTTGTCCCCTGGATGCTGAGAGGTGGAGCCCAAAATTGGGAATAGTTTTCTAAATTTCTTTTAATGAGAATATTTTGCCACATCTTAACCTCCTGTAGACAGATACAGGCCCTCTAGGCATCATGTTACAGAAAGTGACCTTGTCCAACTTTCATGATAACAGGGCTCAGATATGTTAAACACTTCAAAAGAATTCTTCTACCAATTTGATATTTGCACTGTAGCATACTCTAGATTGGGACTATCCAATGAAATGCCTTGACCCACTTGGCCTAAGGTGAATTGAAAACTTTCTACAAGTACTAGTACCTCTACAAAACTATTTAGTGTAAATTCAAGATATTTTGTCTAGCCTACTGTCATGGGAGGCTATCAGAATTTCTTTTAGCAAGAGAACTTGAAGAAATATTAACAACTGAGCTTAGCATGGCATACAGAATCTGTCATTCCATTGTCAATATGTTAACGACTTCTTATATAGAACCATAAGCTCTGGAGTCATAATGTTTACCTTGTAGCTTGCAGTAGTGAAGGGCAATCAGATTGTTAACACAAATCACTTCTACAGAAGTTTGAAGACATGGAATTGTCCTGTAGCATTCTTACTGGTAAAAGCCAAACATCCTTAACCATTAAGTTTACAATGATCAAATTTAGTAATCAATTTGATTGTGTGTTAACTTGGTGAATGATCTTTCTTTATTTGACAGAATTGACAGAAAAGAAATTCAATTCCCTGTATGTATTTGTTTTGTAGATAACAGTGACTTGATTGCCTGTACTATAGTGACAAAGGAAAGGTAAGACCTTTTTGTTAACACCTGTAGGAAAGTAGCCCACAAATTGGAGACTTTGACCGGCTTCTTCAGGAAAATCAAGCCAACATTTGTAATGTTTAGCCTGCTTTGATGGATACCTTGGTCAAATAAATTAATTACCTTGACCCACCATCAGGATATCAAAGTTGTTAAAAATAAAGAAAAAAATGCTGTAATCTTTAAAGATTTTAGGGCCTTTTGTTTAATAATACCCTAAAACAACAACATTTACCTGGATACAGGTACATTTGAACCTCTATCAACAGTCTTTGCCAAACATGTGAAACATTTGACATGACTGAAAAAAGCTATCACACTGTTAGTCCAAATGTCTGATTATATTGGAAGTTTTACAGAGCCAGCTGCCCATTATTTCATATAATTCTAAAAATGCTAAGATAGAAGTGCCACAAAATAGAAATGTGGAAATAACTTCAGAGTCCCTTTTATGTTTTAAGTTATTTATGGAAGTCAAGCATGTAAACAATACAAGTAAGATTTCAAATGTACAATCTCAAACCATGCAATGTCATCTCTCAATTTATGACCCTCATACATATGTCCAAAGTCTAATAAAATTTGGTTTTCACCAGACCAGAGGTCCTGTAACTTAGCATTTCTGTTGGTATAGACTGTAAGTAATGAAAACACCCCGGAAAATGTTCTGTCACTTGTTGATCGTCACAGAAGTCAGATATAGGGAATGTGACAACCACCTGTCATCACTGGTCATCTCAAAACCACCTGTCATCACTCGTCATCTCAAAACCATCTGTCATCACTGGTCATCTCAAAACCACCTGTCATCACTGGTCATCTCAAAACCATCTGTCATCACTTGTCATCTCAAAACCACCTGTCATCACTTGTCATCTCAAAACAATGTTTCCATCATCAACACCAAAGGTTTAGGATATAAAGGACATCGTGGTCCAAATGAAATATTTTTTCTGGAACTACCAATTTCATTTTAATTAAAGTTTGAGGGTTAACCGTACTTATAACATGATATACTACAAGTCTTTGTTATATACTACATGTCTTTGTTATATACTACAAGTCTTTGTTATATACTACAAGTCTTTGTTATATACTACTTTGTTACTGCAGACATGTACTTGTGTAAAGAAGCTGAAATTAAAGTGAAAGGACATACTTGCCATGCCTAACCCTCCTTATTTAGGAGGGAGACTCCTCATTTTGGACCCTAAAATTGAGCATTTTCAGACAGTATATTTGCTAAACTATTCCTTTTTAGCCCACCATCATCTGATGGTGGGCTATTCAAATCACCCTGCGTTCGTGGTCCGTGGTCCGTCGTCCGTTGTCCATCCGTAAACAATTCTTGTTATCGGTATTTCTCAAGAAGTACTAGAGGGACCTTTCTCAAATTTTATATGCAGGTTCCTCTTGGTCCTTAGCTGTGCAGGGCAACTTATGAGACTGATCGGATAAACAACATGGCCGACAGGCAGCCATCTTGGATTTTGATAGTGAAAGTTTGTTATTGCTATTTCTCAAGAAGTACTAGAAGGATATTTCTCAAATTTTATATGTAGGTTCCCCTTGGTCCTTAGCTGTTCAGGGCAACTTTTGAGACTGATCGGATAAACAACATGGCCGACAGGCAGCCATATTGGATTTTGATAGTGAAAGTTTGTTATCGCTATTTCTCAAGAAGTACCAGAGGGATCTTTCTCAAATTGTATATGTAGGTTCCCCTTGGTCCTTAGCTGTGCAGGGCAACTTTTGAGACTGATCGGATAAACAACATGGCCGACAGGCAGCCATCTTTGATTTTGATATTGAAAGTTTGTTATCGCTATTTCTCAAGAAGTACCAGAGGGATCTTTCTCAAATTTTATATGCAGGTTCCACTTGGTCTTTACCTGTGCAGGGCAACTTATGATACTGATCGGATAAACAACATGGCCGACAGGTAGCCATCTTGGATTTTGATAGTGAAAGTTTGTTAGTACTATTTCTCAGGAATAACTTGAGAGATCTTTCTCAAGTTTGATATGTAGGTTCCCCTTGATCCCTCGTTGTGTATGTTATATTTTGAGACTGATCATAAAAAAAAAATGGATTAAAAGAAGAACTGAACAGATCTTTCTCATATTGCAATGATCGATTCTATTTCTTTCACATTAAATACTGTACTAGTAAATATGTGAAATGACAAACTCACTTTGAAGGTTGGCTTTCATACACACACATCAGTATTAAGTTTAGATCAATAGTTACCTCAAGGTGCATTTACTATTAACATGACTCGATCAAACAGGTTAAAGGAAAGAAGAGAAAAGATCGAACTGACAAAGAACTAATGAAGATGGTACAAAGGTGGGCGCCAAGATCCCTCTGGGATCTCTTGTTTGTAAGGTTCGATGATTTCACCTAAAAGAACAGCTCAAACAATGCCATTAAAAAGTGTGATTTTTTCCCTAGAATGTATATACACACATTATAATTTTCCATTTAATTCTGAGCATGTGTAATCTCCCCATGGAAAATGTTGGCAAGTATGAAAGGAGTTATACTGTTGGACACACACTGGCTACTATAAATATCTAGTGACCATTCAGGTAGCTTTTATAAGTTTGGTAGAGGACCTCTGTACATTTAATAGTTCCTGGAATCAATTAACCTGTTTTAAATGAATACTTGCAGAATAATAATATTTGTTTAAGCTTGAAGTCTATTTAATTTTGCATTTGTACTCAATACATGTATTTGCATGCTTGTAGATACATTAGTAATGTCAAATGTGTAAACAGAAAATTTTACCTTAGCTCTATTGTTTGGTTATAGGTTTGAATGCTATTATATCAGGGTTAGAAAACATCTGGGGCAGTAAAACTATATAAAACATCAATAGAAGGGGGATGATTTATGATAGCCTATACTCACTATTGACAGCCATACTACACACTAACAATAGCAACTACACACTGTTAACAGCCAATATAAACAGACTGTCTGTCTGTCTGTTCATGAGAAAATCTTGTCCAGACAACTCCCCCTAAACTAATAGGCAGATTACAACAAACTCTATATATGGAGGATGGACGCACTTGCAGTAACCTCACCTGATATATATATAAACATTTTGACATTTTTTCAGAGTTATTGCCCATTTTGTCCTTGTGACGGGTTACATTGAACTTTTTTTGAAAATGATACATGGGGGCTTAAACTATATCAGATGGTCAATTGTTTTATTCAAAATGGCCTCTGATAGGCTGAGACAATAGCAGTTTAATTATTGGCTTATTAACTGCTTATTTTGCAAGCATATTCTCTCTCAGCCCTTATGGTTTCGACTCTAACATAAATATAAAACAAAAAAACAGCATTTTCAAACATTTATGTTTTGAGGGTATTTTCTACATTAAGGACTTGGTAGATGATCATGGTAATCTCTTGACATATAATCAGTTTGTAGAAAATTATCAAATCACTTTGAACTTTATGAATTACAATAGCCCTTATTAGCGCTATACCTAGAGGCTGGAAGAGAGTAATTCACTTATACATGAAAATCTGAAACAGCTCAGAAATAGCGATAAATCGAGAGGAAAATTGTGTCTACATTAATAGCAAATCCAGTGAAGTCCCAGGAAAGGTGGCATGTTCTATTAGACATTTCTCTAAATAATAATAAATGGGAGCAGGTAAATACTTTACCATTTATTGAGACAAAAGATTCAAAATTACAAAGTCTGCAATATAGAATCATTCACAGATTTTTTTTCACCAACTCTATGTTGTTAAAACAAAAGCTGCTAGAGAGCGGTGAATATAGTTTCTGCAGTGGAGCATCAGAAACAATATACCACCTTTTCTGGGCCTGTGTACATAGCCAGTCATTGTGGACTTGTCTGATCAATTCAGTCTTAAATCAGTATGATATTGTTATAGAAAAAAAACCTGATATTTTCCTATTTGGGGTTACTGAAGATGTCAAACCACTTGGAATAAACCTTTTAATATCATTGATTAAGAAATATATATCATTAAGAATATCCCTATTTCTCAGGAAGTATTAGAGGGATCTTTCTCAAAATGTATATGTAGGTTCCCCTTGGTTCCTTGTTGTGCAAGGGCATCTTTTTGAGACTGATCGGATAAACAACATGGCTGACAGGCAGCCATCTTTGATTTTGACAGTGAAGATTTGTTATCACTATTCTTCAGTAAGAACTGGAGGGATCTTTCTCAAACTTTATATGTAGGTTTCCCTTGGTCCCTAGTTGTGCAGGGCAACTTTTGAGACTGATCGGAAAAACAACATGTCCGACAGGCAGCCGTCTTGGATTTTGATAGTGAAGGTTTGTTATGGCTATTTCTCAGGAAGTACTGGAGAGATCCATCTCAAATTATATATGTAGGCTCCCCTTGGTCTGAAGTTGTGCATATTTAATCTGAAGACTGATCGGATATAAAAAAAAAATGGCCAACAGGCCACCATCTTGGATTGTGACATTAAAGGTTTGTTATCACTATTTCTCAGTAATTACTGGAGGGATTTTTCTCAAACTTTTATGTAGGTTCCCCTTGGTCTGCAGTTGTGCATAAACAAAATGTCCAACAGGCAGTCATCTTGGATTTTGACTTTGAAGGTTTGTTATCGCTATTTCTCAGCAAGTACTGGAGGGATCTTTCTCAAATTTTGTATGTAGGTTCCCCTTGGTCCCTTGTTGTGCAGGTTAACTTTTGAGACTGATCAGATAAACAAAATGGCCGACAGGCAGCCATCTTGGATTTTAAAAGTGAAGATTTGTTTTCGCTATTTCTAACGAAGTACTGGAGGGATCTTTCTCAAATCTTATATGTAGGTTCCCCTCGGTCCTTAGTTGTACATAATTACTTTTGAGACTGATCATATAAACAAAATGGTCAACAGGCAGCCATCTTGGATTTTGACAGTGAAGGTTTGTTATGGCTATGACTTAAATTTTGTATGTAGGTTCCCCTTGGTATGAAGTTATGCATATTTCCTTATGAGACTTATGGGATAAACAAATCTTTGGTTTTGATAATTAAGGTTTGTTATGGCTATTTCCCAGGAAGTAGTACTTTATTGTTCATGTTTACTTTTGAAACTGATCAGATAAGCAAAATGGCCTGACTGATAGCCATCTTCGATTTTTGACCGTGAAGGTTTGTTAGTAAATTGTACTATTCCTCAGGAATGACTTGAGGGATCTTTCTCAAATTTGACATGTAGGTTCCCCTTGATCCCTCATTGTGCATGTTATATTTTGAGACTGATCATAAAAACAAAATGGCTAAAGGAAGAACTAAACAGATCCTTCTCATATTGCAATGATCAAAAAATTGAAGAGGTCAAATGGGGGCATATTTTTTTAATATTTTTATGTCTGTGGTATTGACAATAGGTATATTCATGACTGGTGGCATTGACAATTAATAGGTATATTCCTGTGTGATAAGACATGTCTGTGACATTGACAATAGGTATATTCCTGTGCGATAAGACATGTCTGTGTATTTTGTATTAACAGTTCAAACCACCTGCAATTGACAATTTGTGGAACATCCTTGTATGGAATGTAAACACCTTCTATTATTATTTTTGATAGTTTTAAGAACTTGATGACAGTAAAGTGTCCAACTTAAAGTCTTTTTTATTGTGTTGCTAGGAAACAAGAGAGGCGTTTTTTAGTGATTGACAGCGTCCAGATGATACTGGTAGAACCGGACACCAAGCGACTGGGTTGGGGTGTGGTCAGATTTGTCGGTTTACTTCAGGTAAGTTGGTAAACAATGTCCTGTAAGCTTTAATACTGCAAGTTAATGAACTTTGACTTTTTGAGGAAGATTTTATTGTTTTCTATGACAAATAAAATTCCTTGCATTTGTATTAGGATACAAATTTAAAACGGTGAGAATTTATGGAGAAAAAAATAGATAAATAGGTACTTCAGTGCTAATAAATATAGATTCTCTCTTATATAAACATTAATGATTGCTCTAACACAATAAGATCTCCTAATGGGTTTTTTCATGTGGTTAACATTCACAGTTATCTGTTTTTATTTGGGTTGCTTTCACAATTAAGCAAAAAAAAAAATATTGGTAAAAGGTAGGTGTTATTTCCTTGTGGGATATGTCACATAGAGGGATGTGCCCTTGTCTGATTGAAATGACCATAATAAGTTGGTTTGCCATTGGTATCATCACAGAAAAAAACCTGAAATAGCTTCCTATCAATAAATTAACTCGGATATTGTCTTTAAACAACTACCAGTTATAAACAACTGATGCCTAATGATATAAACATACAGGTAGCCATTTATGTGTACTTACATTGATCAGGACAAACAGCATCAATAACATTACCAAGTATTTACACTGATTGACATATATACTACAACAAAGAGTTCCATTAGTTAACACAAGTACTGCGACACAGGACCAAGACACGACATGAATTCTGATTTAATAGTCAGTCTAAATACAAACATATCAGGCATAATCTAACATACCATAGTCAGCCTAAATACAAACATATCAGGCATAATCTAACATAGCATAGTCAGACTAAATACAAACATATCAGGCATAATCTAACATAGCATACTCAGCCTAAATACAAACATATCAGGCATAATCTAACATACCATAGTCAGCCTTAATACAAACATATCAGGCATAATCTAACATAGCATAGTCAGCCTAAATACAAACATATCAGGCATAATCTAACATAGCATAGTCAGCCTAAATACAAACATATCAGGCATAATCTAACATAGCATAGTCAGCCTAAATACAAACATATCAGGCATAATCTAACATAGCATAGTCAGCCTAAATACAAACATATCAGGCATAATCTAACATAGCATAGTCAGCCTAAATACAAACATATCAGGCATAATCTAACATAGCATAGTCAGCCTAAATACAAACATATCAGGCATAATCTAACATAGCATAGTCAGCCTAAATACAAACATATCAGGCATAATCTAACATAGCATAGTCAGCCTAAATACAAACATATCAGGCATAATCTAACATAGCATAGTCAGCCTAAATACAAACATATCAGGCATAATCTAACATAGCATAGTCAGCCTAAATACAAACATATCAGGCATAATCTAGCATAGCATAGTCAGCCTAAATACAAACATATCAGGCATAATCTAACATAGCATAGTCAGCCTAAATACAAACATATCAGGCATAATCTAACATAGCATAGTCAGCCTAAATACAAACATATCAGGCATAATCTAACATAGCATAGTCAGCCTAAATACAAACATATCAGGCATAATCTAACATAGCATAGTCAGCCTAAATACAAACATATCAGGCATAATCTAACATAGCATAGTCAGCCTAAATACAAACATATCAGGCATAATCTAACATAGCATAGTCAGCCTAAATACAAACATATCAGGCATAATCTAACATAGCATAGTCAGCCTAAATACAAACATATCAGGCATAATCTAACATAGCATAGTCAGCCTAAATACAAACATATCAGGCATAATCTAACATAGCATAGTCAGCCTAAATACAAACATATCAGGCATAATCTAACATAGCATAGTCAGCCTAAATACAAACATATCAGGCATAATCTAACATAGCATAGTCAGCCTAAATACAAACATATCAGGCATAATCTAACATAGCATAGTCAGCCTAAATACAAACATATCAGGCATAATCTAACATAGCATAGTCAGCCTAAATACAAACATATCAGGCATAATCTAACATAGCATAGTCAGCCTAAATACAAACATATCAGGCATAATCTAACATAGCATAGTCAGCCTAAATACAAACATATCAGGCATAATCTAACATAGCATAGTCAGCCTAAATACAAACATATCAGGCATAATCTAACATAGCATAGTCAGCCTAAATACAAACATATCAGGCATAATCTAACATAGCATAGTCAGCCTAAATACAAACATATCAGGCATAATCTAACATAGCATAGTCAGCCTAAATACAAACATATCAGGCATAATCTAACATAGCATAGTCAGCCTAAATACAAACATATCAGGCATAATCTAACATAGCATAGTCAGCCTAAATACAAACATATCAGGCATAATCTAACATAGCATAGTCAGCCTAAATACAAACATATCAGGCATAATCTAACATAGCATAGTCAGCCTAAATACAAACATATCAGGCATAATCTAACATAGCATAGTCAGCCTAAATACAAACATATCAGGCATAATCTAACATAGCATAGTCAGCCTAAATACAAACATATCAGGCATAATCTAACATAGCATAGTCAGCCTAAGTACAAAAATATCAAGCATAATCTAACATAGCATAGTCAGACTAAATACAAACCTATCAGGCATAATCTAACATAGCAGAGTCAGCCTAAATACAAACATATCAGGCATAATCTAGCATAGCATAGTCAGCCTAAATACAACAATATCAGACATAATCTAACATACCTTAGTCAGCCTTAATACAAACATATCAGGCATAATCAAACATAGCATAGTCAGCCTAAATACAAACATATCAGGCATAATCTAATATAGCATAGTCAGCCTAAATACACACATATCAGGCATAATCTAACATAGCATAGTCAGCCTTAATACAAACATATCAGGCATAATCTAACATACCATAGTCAGCCTAAATACAAACATATCAGGCATGATCTAACAAAGCAACCAAAGAAAAGTCATCTAAGCCGATTCAATAAAACAACAACACATCAGTTTGATCATAATTCATCTAAAAAAAATATATCTTTCTAATGTAAGCATTTCTGTTTAAGGTAAATGTCCTAACTCATGTGTTAAGGAAATTTGATATGTACATTGTTCCATTTCCTTATGATTATGGACCTGAAAGTGTTTAGGCTGCTACTCAGTGTGATTTACTACATACTATAAACTTACCATGAAATTACCTTGATTAACAAGCCTGATACCAACAAGTGTAACAAATGAAATATTTTTGTGTGTGCGGGATACAGAATTAAAAAATTTCAAAGGGGAAAAGTTAAACTTTTTTATTTTAATCATATTTTCTCTTACATTGAGCTTATATCATTATTGTATTGTGGTGTATCCTGGTATATAAGTAGGTTACTAGCTTCTGGGCTGCATTCGTTTATCGTGACCTGTGGGACCATAGTTGTTCGTTTATTATTAAATAAGGTCGGACTTAGTAATCTGATGCTGCTTTCAGGCGAGCCTTGACAAAGCATTGCAAGGCCTGCATAAACACTTGCAGGTCCGTGGTGATGTATACTTGAAAATGTTACATTTAAAAACAGACAAACCGGTTGAACTGGATAAGGGAAAGGGGCCCTGGTACAGGAAAATGTTATCAGTTTTCGAGGTGCTACTGTTTGAGGTATACATCCTTACTCCCCAGTTCTATAATATAAGATGTAATATTAATCTATTTCTAAATATTTTCTCCATGTTGGTAAGTATGGATTGTATACCCACTCATACAGCACAACTAGTGAGGTATTTGTGTAGAGCATCCTTGAGCAAATGGACACAAATTTGTATAAACATTTATTAATACCAGTCATAAATGTTTTCGAGAGTATATGAGCCTCTAATGAGTAAATATAAAATATAAGTTAAAAATATATATATTTTTCTAGTAACTAAAGAGTGCTTAATCCATGTCACTTTGGGAATTGATGTATTATTGATGTGTACAGGTATTTGCATTTTGGTAACAAATGAAATTGGTGCAGTGTTGATGTATTGATTTAGAGAATTGGTACATTATCTATGTAAGGTACTTGGTAACTCAGGGCTATAGTAGGTCAGAGAATTGGTACATTATCTATGTAAGGTAC